TATCAGCTGTTCACAGACCCTGATTTGAACAGATGTAGCTCCTCGAGAGTGGACACCTGTGCAGATGATCTGCATGCATGGACAATTGTCGACGTATCCACAGAGGAAATATATGGTGAAGCTGAAGTCAATCTGACACCTTAGCTACATGTTCCCTTGCTTCATGATTTCATTTGATCTGCATCCTGGTTTAGCTTTCCCATGCAAAAATGTTATACGCTTGGTTTGATTTTCATTAATTCTTGCTCTGTCTCTGGGTACATCTATCTGTATCTGTACTGTGTTCACACTTCTAAATAGGTATACCCAAGCTATTTTTAAGCTAGCTAGCTTGGTATCAGTAGTAGTAAAGCTACAGAGGCAGGGACTTCATCACAAGTTACTCCACAAAGACAGCATTGGTTGGCCACTTGAGTAAGTACCGACCATCCTTGGTAAGACAGTTCCATGTCATTCTGTCATTCCAAGCTGGCAATATCAAAGCTAGTTTGGGAATGGCTAGACATGCTACGGTGTAATTGCATTGTAGATGTTTTTCTGAGTTCCCCTTTCTACGCATCACCTGTTCATAGTCAATTAGTACTGTCAGTACAATCTCATGGACAAACATTAGTACCATCTCATGTCTTGTCTCAGCTTTTCCTTGACTAATGGTCTTATTAACTGTCTGTTCTTAGCCCATTCCACATTCCTTTCTGCTTATCATATTTACTGTGTTCTAAAATGAGATTCTCCTCCCCCAATTAACATGGGGCAAAAAAGCCTCTCATCCTGGAACTGAATAGAAGGTGATGGGAGACACATAGCTGCAGTGGCTCTAGTTCTGGCCCTGACCCTCCAATAATCAGATTCTATACATAGAAAATAAAAAAAATTAATACATTTTCCATGTATAGAATCTAATTACTGGGGGGTCATCTTAAATTCAGGGCAGTCTTGGATTTGGGTAAATGCAGTATATGGTTGTTGATTCAATCCATTCCTTATTCTCCTTAACCTGTGACTTTTCCCTTCTCCCTCCATAGTGGCCAACCTATTGACCCTCAGCCTTGGTTCACCCCCGACATCCACATCTTCCGTTTCTGATTTTTTATATTTCCATCTCTCAAATAGCCTGCAGCCAGGTTGATTTTTCTTATTGCAAATCTGCCATTTCTGCAAATCTGCCATCTTCCAGCTAAAAAACTCTACTTCTTTACCTCCATTAAATTTAATGTCCACCCTCCTGGCTTCCTCTTTGCCACCTTTGTCTCAGTTTTCAAACCCTCCTGTCCTCCTGTTTCCAGTTCTGTCTTGGAGAAGAGAGATTACATTTTGTTGATTTTTTCTTAGGGAAAATTCTCGGCTCACTTCTCTTTCCCCTTCCATTCTCACAACTCTCTTCTCTTTTCTCATTCTAACAGATGTAGAAATGCCTTATTTTCTGTCTTTCAATAATGCTTTCACTTGTTCATGTAGCTTCAATCACCCTATGTTGATTTTCTTCCCCCCTGTAACAGGGAACACTAGCCCTGTTACTAGGAGGCAGGGCTGCCCCTTTAAAACCTGAGTCTGTAGGAACACCAAGCACCAGGAGGGTAGGGATTAATAACCCAACCACCCAGTCAGCTGACAGGTAAATTGGGGTTTTTTGTTGTTCTCCCGCCCTGGCGGGGGGTCGGGCTAGAAGATCTACTAGGTCCCTTCCGACCCTTAATCTATGAATCTATGAATCTATGAATCTATGAAGGGTTAGGCCTCTGGGTCCATATAAACCCAGGGCCGAGCCTGGCAGGAGAAGGTCTCTGGCAAGTGGCCAGGGGAAGAGAGCTCCTGTATGGCAAAACTACTCATGAATGCTGTTGCTGCTGGCCAGACTGTTGCTATGGCTAATGAGGCTCCAGGAGTCTACAAGTACCTAGAGCTGGGAAGTACTGGTTTGGGGTTTTTAAGGAGCCAGAGTGTGGCTTGTAGGACTTGTATTATGTTATAGCCCAGAGGCTCATAGTTATGTTGCTGTTTTAGCCAGTGGACTGGGCTCAGGCTATTGGGGGAGAAGGAGACCACATTGGGGCACACTACTGGGCAAAGCCCCATCACTGGGGAGCGCAGCAAAAGGGGGTGATCAGATCCCAGCACTGGGGGGTGCAGAGACAGGGGGTGATCAAGCCCCAGTGCCAGGGGATGGAGCAACAGGTGGTGCAGAGACAGGGGGCAGACCCCAGTGCCAAGAGGCATAGCGATAGGGGATGGGCAGACCCCAGTACTGGAGGGCGCAGCGCCAGGGGGCGTGGTGACAGGGAGTGAGCAGCCCCAGCACCCTAGGGTGCAGATCAACATTTATATACCATCTGTGAGGTGTGGGCCACCATGTAAGGGAGGTTTGGAGTGGTGGATAGCAACCCATAGCATCAGAGTAGTAAATGGGCAGCCTCCCACATGAGTAACATCATAATTATTGTTCCATCAAGGCGTGGCAGATGAGAAAGGTGGGCGAGTAGCCCAGAGACAGAGGGTCAGGCCTATGTTAGACAGGCCCAGGGATGGACCCTGTCACACCGCCTTATTGTTCTCTAGGTTTCTCCCCTCATGACACAAATGTGTCTTGGTCTTTTCCAGCTTAAATCAACCCTTGAACCTACTTACCTCTTTAATTGCCTTCCAGTGTTCCTTGTTCCTTTCATGTCTAAGCTCACTGAACAAGCTGTATGCAATTTCTGTCCAGAATTTTTCTCTTTCATTTCTATCCTATGTTCTTTCCAGCCTGGCTTCAACCTCTTGCACACAACTGAAATTGCTGTGGGCAAAACTTCTAACTAGCCTCTCATTAGCCAGCTCTCTGAACCAGTATTACTTCATCTTCCTTAATCTGTCAGCTGCCTTTGATACAGCTGGCCACACAATTCTTTTTGAAATCTTGTTGCTCCTTGGCTTCTACAACTTCAAACCCTTCTCCTCCCTCCCTGGACCTTATCTCTGGGTATCTTTCCTGCAAACAAAAAAATCCACTTCCACCTTTATATGGATAACTTGCAGAGTTACCTCAATATTTTAGAAATGTCTTATTGTGTTCAAATGAAACCTCAGCCTCTCTGGCATTTTCCCCAGATGACTAACTATTTAGCTCAAGCTTAACATGGCAAAAGCAGAGCTCTTGATATTCTGCTAAGCCCTCCTCACTATCTCCTTTCTTGAACACTATGCACAACCTTGGCACCCTGCCTGTGCCTCAGGCCCATAACCCACAAGTCATCATCAACTATCTTGAAGTCCTTGTATCCAGTGTATATTTCATGTTTCCATGTAACATCTCAAGGTTACTACCTTTCTCATTTACATTCTTACATTCTATATTCAGGGACAATCTGGTGATGCTTTCCATGTGCCTCTTGATTTCCGTGAGAGGAAGACTGAGTCTACAAATGAGTAAATAATATTTACTGTTACATATGGGCTTGAGCCAGGGGGAGGCAGAGAAAACCAGCGGAAAGATTCTGAATATTCCCATTTGATTTCATGTGAATTTTGAGTTCAACCAGAACGGAGAATGCTCTGCACTTTGCAGTATTGAGGTTTGGATGAGGGAATAAAAGTAAGAGTGAAATTTTTTTTAGTTAATTTCCCTTCAATATTTTAAGTCACCTTTCACTGTATGCTTCAGTCTCCAAGGTGGTGATGGCTTCAGCAGAGTATTTTGATTAAATTGACCCATGCCACAGAAACACCTATGCACACTTGTACTGTATTCAAAATTCAATCTTTTATTTTGTAATACAAATGTACAGTTTATGACAAAATATTGTAATTGTAGCTTATATACATTTATACACTTTAAATTAATGATACCTGCCTGAATGTTGCCAAATTATTTGGTATATTCTTCTCAGTAACAAATATGGTCTTTCCCATAAGGACTGCTGTTCTAGTCTTGTCTCTCAAGAGCAAAAGCTGCCAATGGTAGCTTGCTGTTTTGTAACAGACTATTTCAACAAACTCCGTTTTAATGTGTGATCTAATAGCTGTGATTCTTAGCAAATAGAAGCATTTGCTGACTCCATTTGACTTTCGATTAGACTCCAAGTCTGGTTTTGAACTAGGTTCCAAGAGGTAAAAACCTAACTGTCTGAGCCTCATGAGGAGCCCATCTTTACTTCAAAGTAACTGGAATGATAATTAAAGTATTGCTGGAATCCTATCCACACACAATAACTCTTAAAGTGAGTATGATATTTCTTTTCTGAGATGGCTGGACCACCAAGGGGCATAGTCTTCACCTTAAGTCAGCACATCCCAGCAGCTGTTAATACAGTTCTTCTGTGCCACTAATCTAATTCCTCAGTACATCTCCAGCATCCTTTTGTAGTTTGCCCATCCTTGCTCAAGCTAAGCTAACTCATAGCAGTAGGGACAGTGAAAAGGTAGCTAAAATGCAAGATAAAGAGCCCATTCATGTATATACAAAGCATATGCTACCTTCAATTAGATGTTTAAGGCTTCATTTCACTCATTTTACTTAATTACTTTTGCTGTATCTTCTCTTTTTGTGAAACCACATCATGCATATCAAAAGTATATTTTTATTTATCATAATTATATAGCACCACACACATTAATTACACTTCACAGATGAGAGGAAGGTAGGGCAGGGTGGCACCTTAGGGCATTTCTACACATGCTCTGGGATGCAGCACTGAGTGCTTTAATTAGCAGCTGTGCTAATTAAAAAGCACCCATGTGTCACATGTATCAGCATTCCTGTGTATCCCCGCACTGAAAAAAATGTCAGCAGGGTGCTTTGAAATAAAATATGTTCAATGAGCTTTAGTTCAAAGCGCTTCCCACCATTTTTTCAGTGTAGGGGTGCACGGGGACTCTGACGTATGGGCGCTTTTAATTAACACAGCTCACTAATTAAAGTGCCCAGCACCACATCTCAGAGCACGTGTAAAAATGCCCTAAGCCATGGGGCGGCCAAAAAGCATCAATTTCCGTGCTCCAGCAAAGTTGATTAATCGAGTCTGCTCTGACACATTGCATTTCCACCACATCAGAACAGGCTCCCTGCATGTCTGTAGGAACCTTTAGAGGTTAACCTTATGCCTGACTTCAGACTAACATGGCTACCTACTTCACAGGCAAATGTATGAGCCAAGTCTTTACATCTGATGAGTTTACATTCTAAATTGCCCATTCAAACACATGGTGCTCTCAGTTACTCATGTATAACTCCAGTGAATGCCGCATGTTGGAAAGGTGTAGAAAAGTCCTGCTCTTTGGGAAGTCTGAATTATCTTTATTTTTCTTGCGGTATATACTCTTTAATGAACCATAATCTATAGATATGGATTTACATGACACTCCACTGCAGTAGTGTCAGAGAAATTACAAAAAAGAAAAAACACGCTGAATTATAAAAAGCACAATTTTTGATTATTGATCAAAACTGGAAGAAAGCCTGGGAATTAGGCTCTTAAAAATTGATTTAAATGAGGGTTCTACAGGATCTTGCATTCTTCATCAACTCATCTGGAAATGTTCTGTCTGTTCAAAATGCGTTGTTTCAAATGTACAGAGAGCATGGTTAACTATTTAATACTGATAGTAGCTATTATGACTGCATATAGAAACTGTAAACTGAAGTCACTTATCTTCATTAGTTAATATAGAAATTTCAGATGACAGTGTATCAAATATAGTTCAGCCATGGAAATATAAATATGCCAGGAAATGTAATTTATTTGTGAGAAATGTCCATCAAGAGTAGAAGCAGATGCCTACCTGGAATTTAGAATTGAGATCATATGTCCAAACTTTCAGGAATCAGCACAGATGCCACAATGTTCACAATGGGGTGCCATAAAAGGTGGATATGAATAGCAACTTAAACACTGTTTTATGAGATTTTCTAGTGACATTGAAATAAGCAAACTGTGCTATTGTGCTATGGACACAGCATACTTCTTTCTTGAGCTTTCTACTGAAATCGAAGTTCTTAAAGTATCCAAGGAACTTTCCATCTGCATGGACTCTGATCTGTTGCATTTCCTAATGAATAAGCCTTTGTACAATTCTCTGGACTTCTTCCTGAAATGCTTGCCTACAATGACATACAGTAATGGGTTAAGGCAACTGTTGCTAAAAGCAATGTATGTAGATATCTGGGACATAACATCATTGACCTCTTCAAAAAGGCAACCAGTAATGGCCTTTAATCGAAACAGTGTGTCAACTATCGTGCTGATCTGGAAAGGAAGCCAGCAAGTGATAAACAATAAAAGAACAAGAAGGACCAAGATGGTGGCTCTCCTCTCTGTCTGGATTTCCTTGAGTTTTTGTAGTTCATTTTTTCGTAAGGCTTTGATGATTTGAACAGTACAAAAAGTAATCGCTATGAGTGGGATCAAAAAGCCCACAATGTTCAGCAAACAGTTTGTTGCAACTGACCAGTATGCGGATGGATAGTCAAGATAGCAGGCTGTGATGTTGTGATCTTTGAAATAACTTACTTTTCTGAACACCAGTGTGGGTGAACACATGAGCAAGGCAGATAGCCAGATCAAAAAACTATTCCACTTGGCACAGGAACTCCGCCGCATGAGTCCAAAGGACATAGTTTTCACTAGGGCCAGGTAGCGATCAATACTTACCATTGTCAAAAAATAAATACTAGCATAAAAGTTTGTGCAGCTGATTGCATTGACAACTTTACATAAGAAAGTGCCAAAAGGCCAGTCAAACTTATTCGTGATATTAATGGCCCAAAAAGGTAAGCTACCTGACAACACCAGGTCAGCAGCTGCCAGGTTTGCCAAGTAAATTTCAGCCACTGTGCAGCGACTTTTGTGGAAACAAAAAACACTGAGGACAAAGCCATTTTCCATCATTCCCAATGTAAAAATGATCCAGAGGAAAATGGGCTGAAAAGTGAAAACCCAGTTCCATACTCCTGTAGTAATGCAGGTGGAGCTGTTGTTGTTTTCTGAAGTGTTGTATAAATCAGACTGGCTGGGTCCCAACTTCCAAGTGGTCACAACACTGGGAAGGGCTGTAACATTTTCTGCTGTAAGGGAGATCATCTCGGGCTGGAAAATAAAAGGTGAAACAGGTTCAATGTATGCAGCACACCGCTGCTAAAGACTCAATCAGTAAAGAAGTAAAAATGTCTCTGCTACCACTCCTTGTGCGCTATTAAAAGAGATGCTTGAAGACTGACATTTCATTATATAGCATGTGATTTGTCCCCTCACTTAAATTAGCAGAAACTTTGTGATGATAAACACAGGTACATATCCAGGTGGGTGGAGTTTAGGTAGCTAAAGACAGAGATCTAATGACAGGAGATATGGGCTATAATGAAAGGGGGCTATGACACAGGATAAGTGAAGCTGAAATAGATCATTTATGACCCTTAAAGCTAGTTCTCAGCTAGACCAGTTTTGATCCTTTATCTTTCTATACAGTTAGCCATAATCTCTCATGGGACTGTGGCAGGGATGTGACCTAGGGGTGCCGTGACCTCCCCTAGCGCCCCCTACCTACTGTGCCAGATCAGGTTTAATGCACCCTCGCTATCTCGCCCGCCACGTCTTTGATGTTAATATGTTGAAGGGAGGCTGCCTTTCTAACCTTCCTTGGCACAGTGCCTTGATGTATCCTGGCTCTGCCTAGTTGCTCGGTGCCCCCTAACCTCTGGGGCTGCACGTGAGTCTCACAGTCGCCCGTGCCCTCACGGGTCCCCAGACTTGTCCCTGTTGCCTACCTGTGTCCTTGCAGGCGCCTCCTAGCTTCTCCCTCTCCTGCAGCCCGCACTGGGGCCTGTCTTGCCTCGCGGCTCCTGCAGCCCACACTGGGGCCTGTCTCGCCTTGCGGCTCCCGCAATTGGGGCTCAGGTGGCCGTAGCCGTGCCTGGCCCCCGGACCCCTTTCTGGGTCCTATGCCTCATTGGGGCTTCCCACAATTGGGGCTCAGGTGGCCTCAGCCTTACCTGGCCCCCCAGACCCCCTTTCCAGGTCCTACGCCCCACTCGGGCTTCCCACAATCGGAGCTCAGGCAGCCTTGGCCTTACCTGGCCCCCAGACCCTCTTTCCTGGTCCTATGCCCCACTGGGGCTTCTTGCCTGCGCTCACACTGGGCTCCTCCCGATACTGCCCACACTGGGGCCAGGGTCAGGACACCCCAAAACGCAGCACCCTCTCCAGTGCCAGGAATCCCCACATTACTGGGGAGCTCCTATGAGGCCTCCTCCACCCCTTATAGCCTCACCCGGTCCTCCAGTATTATACAACAACAAAACAGAAAATACAAAGCCCCTGGCTATAACGAAAATTCTCAGCCAACCTGGCTATCCTCCATGCATATCCCTACCAGGGTTTTCTCCACCCAGTATCATCATACCGCAAACTCAAGCCATCAGGCTTCTCTGCTATGCCTGCCCAACTTGCTCCAGCAGAGCTCCACCTTCCTTGGCTGCCAGAGGGGAACTGCCCTTCCAGCCTCAGCCTGGCTGTTTATAAAGGCCAGGCCCTGCCCCCCTTCCAGTCAGCTGACCAGATTGGTTGCCTCGGCAACCCGCACCTGCGCTGCCCTGGTGACTGGCAGCTGAGCTCATACTACTGTTGTCAGTAGCAGGCACCTTAGTGCCCTGCTACAGACTGACTGCACATTCTTGCAAATTGTAGAGTATGTGGGTGTTAAATTGTGGCATGTGGGATGAATCAGGGCAGCCACCCTGGGCCTCGTGCTTTGGGGGGCTCCGCGGAGCAGCAGTGACATGGAGCTGGGCAGAGCGGTGGCAGAACTGGGCAGGGCAGCAGCTCCAGATCCAACCGCTTGACTACCACCCCCGCCCCCCCCCCCCCA